GCGTGTGTGTGTCTGCCTGTGTGTGTGTGTGTGTGTGTTTCAGACTGTCCTGGTGTTGAACTCTGAGAAGTCCACAGCAGAGAGAGACAACTTCGTCTTGGAGGTGAAACAGTCGCACTCACTGTGTCAATGACTTAATGTAAGCGTTGTTAATGACATCATGTGACCAATAATATGGCAGCTGTGAGGTCACTGTAATAACAGACTGCCCATGAAGGCGGAGCTCCAGAAGTTCTAGGATTTTATTTTGAAGGTTATTGATTAGCAAGTATCTGCTCAGCTGCAGGGGTCAGACTGTCACAAGGACCTGAAATCTCGTCTCACCGCAGATTGTTTTGGATGCGTGACTGCAGTGAACTCACTGACAGACATTTGCTGCCATCGCTTAAGTCGACTTGTTATTAGCATTAATCTAAAACTGCATTTTTAAGGGACGCTAAGTTAGTAAAGTGACAGATACACTGCAGGACTTTCATCACAGGGTCAGAGTTTGGACTTCCTCTCCAAAGGATGAGTTATTCAAACTTCAGCAATGAGCGGATGTGACTCTCCCTGATCTCCCCTCAGATCATCAACCTGTGCTTCATCCTCTACTACCTGTTTGAAATGTGTGTGAAGATCTTTGCGTTCGGCTGGCAGGGCTACCTGTCCTACAGGAACAACATCTTCGACGGCTTCCTCACCGTCCTGTTGTTGGTAAACTCATCTGATTAAAGTTTTCCAGCTTTTTTAAACACAGTATTTGGCAGTTTGCCGTCTATTCTCCAAATCTATGACATCGCAGTCATTTGATTGGTCAATTTCATTAGTAACGACGCTGCAGGAACCACACTGGGAGGGTAATTTGTGTCCGCTGCTTCCTTTCAGGCCCTGCAGATCACCATTTTTATCACCTACAGGCTTCCGTATTCTCAGTGGTGAGTTCATGTCTGTTTAATTCAGCTTTGTGCCTTTTGTGTGTTTCTGTGGGGGAAGTGCCACTCGAGTCCAGCGAATGAGTGAAAATCTTCTCCAGCAGCTCTCTTCATGTGTAACACTCTGATCAAACGTATAAAGACACGCGTGTTTTAGAACTGCTGACCTCTGACCGCAGGGAGCCCTCCGCTCACGGCGTGCTGTCGCTGTGGGAGATGATCCGTCTGGTCAACCTGCTGATTGTTTTCCGCTTCCTGCGCATCATCCCGGACATCAAGGTACGATCCCAGATTCAAACACGTCGTCTGTCAGAGTTTGACGAATCATAGCCAAACACTGTTTTCACAGTTTCACTTGGAAGGTCAGAGAAAAATATACAAATGCTTTTATGTGACAGTCAGGTCATGTTTATGTGTGAGTCAGCGTCAGCAAGAGTCTCGCTGCTTCTTACATCCTTACATCACCTGTTTCACCATCGAGCTTCATCGGCTTTTCAAAAAGTGAGAAAAATCCAGTCCCAGCTGCAAAACGTTGGGACGCTCCCATAAACTCAGTTTTATTAACAGTGCAACACAGAAAACAGAGAAACTAAGAAAATGTGCCGATCAGAGCTCATTTTGAATTGGAGGCCGATTTGGAACAAAACCAGTCTGTGGAGCTCCTCAGTCCTCCAGCTCATCGCAGTCCAAGGAGCTCGGAAACAGAAGCGTCCGGACCTCTTTAACTTTCTTAAATACGTTTCTTCAGTTCAAAGAGCAGCGATTGGTGGAGAGTCACAGATTTAAGCCCTGTGGGCGTCGCCAAGAGGGCCGTGGACCCCCTGTGGATCCTCTACCTCAGGGGTGGGCAACTCCAGGCCTCGAGTGCCGGGGTCCTGCAGGTTTTAGATCTCACTCTGGGTCAACACACCAGAATCCAATGATTAGCTCATTAGCAGGCCTCTGGAGAACTTCAAGTTATGTTGAGGAGGTGTTGAGGTCATTTAGCCATCTGAATCAGCTGTGTTGGATCAAGGACACATCTAAAACCTGCAGGTCACCGGCACTCGAGGCCTGGAGTTGCCCACCCCTGCTCTACCTAATCACACGAGCCAAGGTGTGAAAACGGGTGCAGGTCACAATCAGCCAGGGTTTCAGGTGAAACCTAACCACACCCTATCATGTGACTTAGTGAGGTCACATGGCCCAGGATGCGAGTGGGCGTTGCCACATCTGGGAAGGATCTCAGACTAGATTTCAGATGGCACACAGTTGGTGTCATTTGGACTCGTGTGAAGAAACACCAACATATCACTGCCGTGCTTGCCTCCATTCATTGGCTTCCAGTGCGTTTTACAGTTAAAGTCAAAATCTTTGACGTATAAAGTGCTGCTTGGCCGGACTATTCGTCTGACCTGCTGCAGCTTTACACGCCCTCTAGAGCCCTTCGATCAAGCGATCGCCTGCTCCTTACCTCACATAAGTCTAGGCTGGTTCATAGAGGAGATCGGGCATTTGTGGTTGTACCTCTCCACGTTAGAAAGGCCCGACTGTCACTCTGTTTAAATCACATCCTAAAACACATTTTTTTACTCTGGCTTTTGAAACTGTGTGAGAGTTAAAAATTCTTTTATCCTAATTTTCTTTTAATTTTCTTACCTGTCGTTGTTAATGTCATTGTTTAACTGTTACTCTGTGCAGCACTTTGTCAGCTCCCTGTTATTAAACGTGCTTTATAAATAAATAAGTGAAATGAAACCATCTGTCCTCTCTGTCCAACGTGTGGACACTGGTGTGAGGACGCCACATGTTGGACAGAGAGGACGGTTCTAAAGAGTGAAAGAAGCGTCCATGTCCGCTGTGAACGCCAGCAGTCTGAGAATCAACAACAGTTTTTAGCGATTTCAAATAATCGTCCTGCGTTCCACACGCGGCAGCTTTAAAACATTTAAAACGCAGTGACTCCTCCCACTCAGTCTGCACGTTGCTCTGTTCTGCAGCTCATGGCTCTGGTTGCCAGCACGCTGTTGGACCTGGTGAAGAACCTGCGAGCGTTCGCGGGGATCCTGGTGGTGAGTGATGTCAGCGTGGGCGGGTCAGCTGATGTGCTGTGAATCTAAAAGCGGCTGACGTGCTGTTTGCGTGCAGGTGGTGTACTACGTGTTTGCTGTGTTTGGGATCTGGCTCTTCGAGGGCGCCATTAAACCTCCTGACTCCAGGTAAGAATTTTTCTCTGTCTGAGCACGCTGACACGTAAACTGGGACGTGTTGATGAATAAATCGTAAAGTTCAGTTTCGTGTCGTTCTGCGTGTCAGTGTGCCGACCAACACCTCCATGGAGAACATCACCTCCAACTTCAGCGTGGCGTGCGGCACCTACGAGCAGCTCGAGTATTGGCCCAACAACTTCGACGACTTTGGCGTGAGTCACACCTGGATGAGTGCAGACGGCCTCTCACCTGAACCTGAGGTTCAGCGTCTCTGTCCTCGGTCAGAGGATTTGCTATGTGACGAGGATGTCTCTGAGGATTCTGGGACTGCATTTCTAGTTTTCTCTGAACTTGTTCTGTTTAAATAAAAACGGTTTTCTTTCAGTGAGCCTGCTCACGGCTCAGTTAGAGGCTCTGGGATTAAAACGTGCTGAAGCATCTGTCCTCCCTCTCTCAGGCTGCCATCATTTTACTCTACGACGTCATGATCGTCAACAACTGGCAGGCCTTCATCGACGCCTACAGCAGATACACCACAGAGTAAGAAACCGGTTTAAGCCCAGCGGCGTAATTATGGTGGTTACTGCCAGGATGATGATGATGATTTGTTTCCCAGGTGGTCCAAGATCTACTTCGTGTGTTGGTGGCTCATCTCGTCGGTCATGTGGGTCAACTTGTTCGTGGCGCTCATCTTAGAGGTGAGAGACTCGCTCAATGCAGACGCCACCTGAACCAGGTGTCAGATAAGGTCGGCGGCAGGAAGTGAGAGAGAGCCAGCTGAAAGTGTCAGGGCCGACTCGGCGTTCTTCTTAATCAGAAAGAGTCTTTAGGACATCCTGATAATAACAACATTGACGTGTATATGAGAAGGAATCGGCGGCGTGCCCGACTGTGACACTTCTGTAAGAAAGCTCAGAAATGTTGGACATCCTCGTTTCTTCAGACAGCTCAGGTTACACAGCAGCAGCAGTTTAAATGTTCCTGTTTCGCCTGCAGGAGCTCGTTTTAAACGAGCTTCTCTTCCTGGTGACGATCAGATTGATTCTTTCTAAATGTCTGAGGCCACGTGTCCCGCTGTGATCTGCACAGGCCGCTTGTAAACGTTTGTTCGCAGTTTTCCAGTTTTTTGCTTTGAGGCTCTGACGTGTGTCTTTCTGTCCTAACAGAACTTCATCTACAAGTGGGACCGCAGTCACAGCTGCTCTGTGATGGATGTGGAGAGGATCAGATATGAAACCTCGGTTCAGCTCATATTCAGGTGGGAATTTGTTATTTATTGCATTTCAGTGCTTGACAAACCTGAGTCCGTGCTCACTGCCTACCGTGGGTCCCGTGTCTCTGCAGGGAGCAGATCCAGGAGCCCACAGAGGAGGAGTTGGTGTGCCAGCTGCACCAGCATCCACACTTACAGCTGCAGTGGTGACAGCGGCGCCCTGCGAGGCTCTGCCGCCAGTTCATTTTTAAGTTCCTGTAAAACATTAAATGCAAAACGTGCGCTGAGTCCAGAGGGAATCCCACTTCTGAGTATTTCCAAGTCAAAGCCCTGCAGTCCCGTCCTGTTCTGAGAAACACCTGCGTTCATTTACATCAAACCGAAATCACAAAAAGCTGCGGCTCGCCTTTAAAAGCTGCCAGAACAAACTGAAGCGTGAGCAGCTGCGGCTTTTAATTGGCCGACCGGAGCGGCGCTGAGCAGAGCTGAAAGCACAGACCCAACGGCAGCGCGAGTCCATCAGATTTGCATGCAGACAAACGGCCAATCAAATCCAAGAACACCGTCTCATCAAACCGGCGCTGTAGCCTCCAGGAGACGCGGGTCTCCGTTCTCTGCAGACTGAAACCACCTGACGGAGTTACGCAGCGCACACATTCAGCTTTACTTCAGACTTTAGTGTGAAATCCTCGCAGACGCGCGCAGGCTCAGGTCAGAGGTCACTTTAGGGAAACACAAACCGCACGTCTGCTCTGCAGCACTGTTCACTCATCGAGTTCAGGGCGGAGCCAGAGGCTGACACCTTTCACGTGTTAGGATGATGACATCACAGATCACTGCAGGTTCACAAAAGCACGTCTTTCTACTCTTTCTGAGCCAAACATTAGACGGAGACATGTCTCCATCACTGCGTGACGCCGAGCAGATGGTAATGACTTCTGGGCTGATCTCTGCTGTGAGTCCAGCTGCGGAGATGTCAGGACGCCATGTCCCCACGTGTGGACAGAAACATCAGTACTTGGGTTTTTGTGAAGGTCCAAGTGTCTCAGATCTGTTCTAAGAAAGGAGGGAGACGTCTGCCAAACTGGATACACAGCAGCTACGGGAGCACGTTTATTTACAATCCTCTTAATCTGCACATAGAGACGCGAGCTGCAGGGACCGGCTCGTCCCACAGGTCCGTGTTTCCTGACTGTCTTAGCGATGCGTGTCGTCTGTGGACACTCGCAGCCTGAGCTGCTGAAGCTTTCCTCACTTCCTGCTCTGACCTCGTCATCAGCAGCGACAGACACATCAGAGGAAAATGTTGCAGGTCAGCTGGAGTCGCTGGGCGCCTGCAGCTCAGGTTCATCGAGACGTTTAACACAGAAGCGCTGCCGTGTGCACAGGAAGGACATCATGCCCGAGCTGCAGCGTCGTCCTTTAGAGGTTTCCGCTTCGTTCGACTCGTCGTTGCCACGTTTGTGGGGTTTCCCCTCATGTGAAGGACAAATTGTCCAGAAACCAGGAAACGCCTGAAAGCAGTGACCTGTCTGAGACTTTGTTTTGTCTGTCAGGAAATAAAAAAGTTGTTTTTCTTGGAATGACACCAGATCTGATCTGTGCTGTGTTTCTGGCCCGAGGCTGAGCGTCGCAGAGTTTTCCCTGAAACCTGACGTCAGACAAACACACGGCCGAGCCATGATTTCTGCTGTATGTGGCGTTCAGGGCGTGCTGAGGCTTTAGACGAGCGTGTTCTGAGAGTTTAGTGGTGCAGAGCTGCTACCTCTGAGGATAAAAAGGGAAAAACTCACTTTTTGTATGAATGTCCCAGAAACAGATTTGAAATAAATATTTTTCTGAAACTCAAAGACGTCTCTCGTGTTTCCGTTCACTCCATCAGCTCGCTGTAGTGTCCAGCTCAATATTTTTATGTCCTCTGAATCTCATGACACTTATTCAGTAATAACAATTATTATTGTAATGATCATGTAAAATGCTCTGTGTCTTTTCTGCATCAGTTTCTGGTGGAAGCGTCTGAACATAGTCAGCATCTACCTGCAGCTTTCCCAACTCTGATGTGTTTCTGTAAACGTCCCCTCCACCCTCTCTGTGAGCTCCACCTGCTCTCACAGAGCTGCATGTAGTAAAACGGGACAAAGAGCCTCTGCTGCAGTTCTGTTGTAATTAAATGTCTTTAATGTTTGCATATGAACAACGAGGGCTTCAGTCCGCACAGAGACTGAACAACAAATGTGTGGAAGCGATCCGGCCTCGGGTCTCACAGCAGGAGGCAAACCAGAAGTGTCCCTCAGACGGGGGTCTGTAAAAAAGAAGGACAACAAGAACCACGGGAGGGTACGGAGGCAGCACAGCACAAAGGGAAACTGTTCATACTGCAGTGTGACTACAATCACCTTCAAGTGATTTAGTCTGCTGCCTCTCCCTGAAGCTCTCAAACATCTGCTCCACACTCAGCAGCTGCCAGCTCCACGAAGATCTGCTGCAGGTTTCTGTGGAAGTGTCACAGCAGAAAAACGGAGCAAGATCAGTGAACGAGAAGGACGAACGGAGCTTTAAGAAACAGGAATAAGAAAAAGGAAAAGCCGCTGATGCAGAGGTAAAACGGAGACCGTG